GCAGCGTAACGATTTCGTAACACTTTCATGGCCCGAGCTGTGGGGCATAATTCATCTCATGAATTTCTTTTCAAATCAATTAGTAATAAAAGATTCTTTAGACGAAGATCTTTAATACTTAAATTATAAGACTTCATATAAAAAGTCTATGAAAATGCTGACGACATTTCTAATATAAGAAATTGTCTAAATACACGCTAAGTGGCAATATATCTCGCAAAAGCACTCATTAATGACCAGTCAACAATTACTCTTCAAAATCTAAAGTTCAGAATGCTTTTCCAATTTTAGACCTTGATAGCAAACATTTTTATGAAGAATAATATAATTAATTAATTTAATTTCGCGCTTCACTGCTCATCTGTTAGTTTGCTTTTCACCTATACATGTTTATTCAGAGAAAAATATTTAATGCTTAATTGAGTTTACGCAAAAGGTGATTGTACAACGTAGTTTATGAATCTATATAAAGTCAAAAATCTAATTACGCAGACCAAAAACATAGCAGATCGCTGGCATGATTGAACATGGGTGGTATGCATAAAATATCCAAGTATAGTTAGTTGAAAAATTGTGAGAGTAATGTAAGCAAATTGGCGAATCAATTAGAAAATATTTTAAATTATACCAGACATAAAAGCTATTTTATTTTGTAAAGTAAATGTAAGACGGCGAATCGCTAGAAATAATACAAATAAATAATTTTGTTCGAGAAAGCTATTATCACCCATTATATTTAACAGATGCTCCGCCAAATAGTCTTTTTTCATTGTTCATATGGTAAAACACCAAATCATTTTGAAAAATCCTTAATTTGCATTGTCGAGTGTTTTGTCTTTAACAATAAAAGCTCTTCCAATAATGAAAATGTAGCTCGTAGTGGCTAAGTTTACGAATACTTTTTTAACAGCTTAATATCTTTTGATGCATTCTATAATGATGACATGCAATAAATCCTGTGATTTTCCCGCATTAGGCGTTTACGGCTCGCAAAATAAAACAATCGAAGGAACCATAACTTTTATGTTCATTTCATAATTCTTAATATCAAGTAATTTGACAACCAATGTATTGTATTGTAAAATTTGCTATCTGACGAAAGTCTTGAAAGTCTGTTCGTAGGCATGCCCAAAATATGGTTAATTTCAAAGTGCTTAAACTTCCCATTAGTATAGTTATTCAGATAGGGGACCTTCATTTCTAAGTCGAAAATACTTAGAACTGTAAAAATCGTCTTACTAACATATAAAATATAAATAATAGGCAGCTTTCAGAGCTATTTTGATTCTAAGAGTATAATTATACTTTACGCATTCAAAATATATTAGTTCAGATCGTTTCTTACATTAACCTCTGTTTCATTATGAACTGCTACAGCTATTTAGGCTGCAAAGTTACAAACAGTTTTAATTCAACTCAAAATCGTGGCTTATTTTCTGCCTTGATAATGTGCTCCTATACAATCCAGATAACTGAAAATATAGTTAGTAATTCTAAATTAGGCTAGGAGACTTTAATTATTAAGAGGTGTTGGTATGGTTTTCTCATTTGGTAAGGATACTCTATAGCACTATGCCAACAAGCAACATTGTTGATTAGGTCTGATTAAACCAAACGAGCCGATAAGCAATATAAAGAAGTGTTAGAGATTTTCTAGATTGCTCCTGTAAACTTTGATAAATTGGTCGCCTAGTTGAAATTTGATAACCATTCATTCTAACACAATGGATTCTCAAATTAATATTGCCATCACAGTTATTGCTTATCGGCAAGCGCTAGGGTCAAATATTAATAGATATTGTTCAATTTTTTCATTTATTATTTAATTGAATTTGCAATTGCAGTAGTTGGTTGCCATAACAACTAAAACTTTGCTTCGTCAATAATCCCACCGCAGAGATATGATTTGGATATCGTGGTAATGTACAGTAATGATAAATTTCATGAGACTATATGCTGCCTTAACCGGCTATTCTTGCTTTGTAATAATTTAGGCAACACTGTGTACTTGTAGTAGAGTATGGATATAATCAAGCGTTTAGCTCATCTGGCCCGATCAAAAAGATGAAGAGACTTCAATGTAAAGATAAATGTGGGAAAACTTTCATGATTTTGAAATCTAGAAGAGATCAAAGCGCTATTTGTACCCCAGAAAACTCAAAGATATTTTTGCGAAAGTAATAGTATGAGTTTCAGAAAGTATTCTGTTGAGTTCTAGAAAACTCAATTTAATAGCAATTTACCCCTTTTACAACCATAGTTCAATGATAAACGACTCTGTTAAACTGTTTGCGACGGTTCACTATGCACTCCATTGATAAAATTCAAAATTCACTATACTTTGGCATATAATTTGTTTGATCATTCAAAGAGCATAGGTATTTCGACGATATAATAGACTACGAATGCCCCAACTATTAGACACTCTTAGAAATTGTAAAAAAGTTGGATATTGCGTTAGATAGACTGTTAATGAAATTGGTTGCGTAAGAAGGATTGGTATGCAAGATACATGTTAATGTATAAAAGCTTCTATAGATGCGATTAAAATGTAAGGCTTACATTCTCTCATTTATGATTTATCTCTTTAAGCCTTGAAATCAGTTATATATTGTTATAATCATACTCTATTGCGTGTACGCATCTACATTTTGGTGGCTGAAAAAAAATCATAATTTATATTAATTCAGTTCTGTTATCTTAGACGGCCCATTTTTCTGAAGAAAAAACACAAAAGATGACCTCGGAGTCAACAGTGACCTCCTGGGAATCAGCATAACTTATGGGATATTTCCTTTTCAACCCCGATTTGATTAATTGTTGACTTGCGCACTCATAAGGCCTATGGCAAAAGCCCAGTTGTTAAGTTACTCTATGAAGAAAAAAATGGCAAAGTTAGCTAAATACATATATCCTTCCTTAAAAATATCCGATATATGCTATTCACAGACAGATTTCCTAAAGTTTTAATGCTGTATGGTGAGACACAAGTAATATGCCGACTTAAAGATATGATACTCTACCATATTTCCCATTCTGAGTGGCTTATTGGTTAAGCCTAAATGAATTTTAGCAGATAGATGAATGTACATTATAAAACCGGGTTAGTTATGGATTTAAAAAACTTCGATATTTAACTTTGGAAAAAACGACAATATTCCCATACCTATAGCTAATAGGCATTTATTTCTAAGATGAATAATTTATAAAATTTATGTGCTTAATAAATTTTGAAATTAGTATTTAATGTTATTCATATATGCTCCTTCCAAAGCCTTGTATGATATAGCAATCAATGGCGAAGTCTTTTATCCTAGCTCGATACTTGGAGTTAATTTTACTCGCAAATTCCAGGTTATCATAAATATCGTGAAGGATATTTACAGTACATGCAATAGCAACAAGATAAAGTTATAAAAATATTCCACTATATATTATGTATCTTACAAGTGTAAGGAAGCATAAGCTAAAGGACTTTGTATATTAGAGGCGTTATGCATTGGTCTAAGTTTATAGCACCGAATTTCACTCCCAATGCTTTAAAATACTCTATATCCCGTCCTCATTTTTTTCCATGTTGATTTATTACGCTGAAAAAGCAATGGATGAGTGGGACTACAACTACTTCTATACCTACTTATAAATAGCCTGAAAATCTGTCAAGGTTATAATCTTCTAAAGTAACCTTCAAATTCACTAAGTCGATTGAAAAGCTCAGTATGTCCATTCCTAGTTACCCTATGAAAAAAAGCGGCAAAGTTAGCTAAATACATATATCCTTCATAGGAAATATTTTCTTATCCAATGCATTTAAATTTTCATCTTCTCTAAAGACTTGCATTTATCCTATTTTCTTAATTCTACGTTATAGGGCAATTGGATCCATTTTATGAAACTTGCTCGGCTAATTCGTCTGGCTCGGCTCTACCAGAAAATCGAGCGCTATTCTCAATATAGTGCTGTGGTACTTGGCCTTCTGATGTGCATGTTCTTCTTGCTAGCCCATTGGTTTGCGTGCATTTGGTACGGCTTGGGCCGCCTCGAGTTGCAAGGAGATCTTACCAAAAATTACAGTAAGCCACTCTGCTTTATAACGGACAAATTGCTCTTTTCTATTGGTGATAGCAACCAAAAGCCATTGTGGTATGTTAGATGTTAATCCCACAAAGACTTGACAGTTAATGGATTTATGATTAAATACTTCATATGAATTTTATTTTACGTCTTATCTCAATTCTGACCTTACCATCCATT